CTTGGGAGCATTGATCAGGTTTTCTGCGGCAGTGGCTTTTGAATCTTACTGTTTATCAGCATCACCAGGGAAACGTTGAAAGAGCACAACACAGAGGGCTTGTGCCGGGTCCAGGGACCTGTATTTCTAGCAAGCATCCCAGAGTGAGATGCTGATGCAGGGGGTTCGTGGACCACCCCTTGGAGAGACGGAAGGAGTTTTGGACTCCAGGACTCCAAGAGGTTTGAGAGGCCTGGACTGGCAGGTCCTAAAGACCCAGAGGAGTAGTGGGAAGGTCATCAGGGAGCTGAAGTAGCTGTGACCCTGCCCCTCTGAGCCTTGGTTTCCTTCCTGTTCAGTGGGGATCTCAGTTGGAGACGGCAGTGCTATTCACATTGTCCCTGGGTGAGTAGTGGCCTTTGGATTCTTTCTGACCTGAGGGCGATCACGTCACCTACTCCCCTCCGCCTACTCAGATGGGAGAGGGGCTCAGGCCACCACTTCTGCAGAGCCTGAAGCTTCCCCACAGGAGTTATTCTCACCCCGACCGCCTGGACCCTTCTCCGGCACAACACTGTTGGTCGCCTACTCAGGTTCGGAGGGCAGTGCCCAGCAGTCCAGGGGCGGGGGTGGGGATTCTCAGAGGGACAGTCTCCCCTGCTCCCAGGTTCTTCCCAGGCCCAGGATGAGCCCGCTGCACCCCCAAGCCATGTTAGTCTCCCCTCCCTCACTCCCCTGAGGGGTCGTCAGATCTGGCTGGTAGGAGGTGGTGCAGGCAGAGGGTCAGGGAGGACCCAGGCAGGATGAGGATAGAGTGGGGAGCCAAGGACAATGGGATCGTCTGTAAGTTAGTTGAAGAAATAGAGGGGAAAAGGGCAAAGAACATGGGAGGTAGAGGGAAGGAAGTCCCGGGGATTGGAGTAAGAGTGTGTGTGTCTTGATGCCTTGGTCTGTGTCTATGTGTATTTGTCGATGGAGTGGAGTCACCCCCCAGCGCCTAACAAACACACTCAGACCCTCTAGCAAGGGCTGCAGGCTGGAGGTGGGAGGAGGAGGAGGGATGTCTGTGAGGAGGGGCTTCTGGGGGGACGGGGAAGGGCCAGACTCTGGAAGCTGCAGTCTGGGAGCACCGGATGGCCTGGGGGAGGGCCCTTGCAGGCAGTGAGCCTTAGCACAAGTGATGTGGGCCTCCCTTCCTTATCCGGGGAATGGGGACATTGCAGAGACTCAGGAGGCTCCTCCTTTATGCCAGGGATCCCGAGGCTTTGTTCTAAGGACAGCGCACTGCCACCTGTGAAGGAAGTGCTCCCCCACACGCCCGTCACAGGTGAGGAAATGGAGGCAGAGGGAGGGCAGGTCGCTTGCTGGGATCACACAGCCCGTGGACAGGAGCTGCTCGAGCCCGGCAGTCTGAGAACACCTAGTGTAAGACCGTCCGGCAGGAGCTCCGCAAGGACAAACCAGGACCCCTGAGCTCAGATGCGGCCCTGCCACTTACTGGCTGTGTGTCCTTGTGCAAGAGACCTCCCAGCTCCAGCCTCAGTCTCCTCGTCTGTAAGATGGGCCTGATGACAGCACCTGCCGGCGCGTGGCAGGCAATGGCCACTATGGGTTTAATGAATAAGTCCTTCCCCCTGTGAGGTCAGTCTGATGAATCAGGTGGTCCAGCTGCCCTGTTCCCTACAACCACTCAGTAAGTATCACAAGGGCACCGAGCCAGGCCCTGAGCTGGACGCTCGGAAAATGCCACTCATGTCACCGTCACAGTGATCACGTGTCAGGGAGAGACAGGAGCCCCTAATGGGCAGGTCAGCAGCTGGAAGTGTAGGGCAGCAGAGGTGTGGGGCAGGAGGCGAGGGGCTTCGGGGGCAGGTGAAGAGGGGACCCGGCTGGAGAACAGTGAGGGGAGAAGCAAGGAGCAGGTAGCCTCGGGGTGGGAGAGAACGTCTTGCCCCTTAGGGACAAAGGACCAGAGTGATGGGGCCTGGTGGTGGGTGGGGGGGAGAGCAGGACCCAGGACTCACGTAGGCAAGGGTGGGGGTGCCAGGGTGTGGCGGGCCGCCAGGGCCAGTCTCGGTGGGATGGGCGGCAGCTCTCGCACCCCGGGCCAGTGGTGTGATGGCGGCAGCGGCAGCGGGGGGGCCGGGCCCGGGCAGCGCAGCGGGCGGCATGGCCGTGGCACTGGCAACGTCCTCTCACTCCAGCTGCTGCCAGCCCCGCCCGGCCCCCAAACTCCATTCGGAGGTGACTGGCCACCACACTGGCCTTAGAGCCCGGTGGGGCACGAAAGGTCACTTTTTCGGGGCCCCCTAAGGCCCCAGGCCAGGCGGGTCTGCGCCACAGTGATCTCCAGGGACCTCCTGTGGCCCAGGCGGCCGACAGGACCAGAGCTGGGGGTCCTGGGGTGCAGAAGCGCAGGCTGACAGACGTCAGGAGGAAGGAGCCACCGAGGGCCAGGGTCAGGCTGCCATTGCAGGTGGCCCTGGGGCTGACCTCGGTCCCTGTGGAGAAGGTGCAGACCTGGGGACAGGAGGCCGCCATTCCGGCCAGCTGGGTCACTGGTGGGAGGCAGAAGCGGGGGCGACCCCCTGGATGGTAGCATGGGTCTGAGGTGGCCTGGCTCAGGAGGAACAAGAGGGCGAAGGTCACGGACATGGTCCCAGCAGGGGCAAATACCTGCAGAGGACAGGAGTGGCAGGGTTGAGGGCCTCGGGCTGTCCCCCAGTGTCAGCCTCCGCCAGGCTCCCCAGGCCCCCTGAGGACCCCAGCATTCCACCCCCAGCCCTGCCAAGCCCCCTCCCGGCTGCTTCTAAGCGAGGAAAATAGTTCCATCTGGGGAGAATTACTGTTTACACAACCCAAAGGGGAAAGAACGCAAGCAAAATCAAGAATTTTGCCTGAACTAATCCGTAGCTTAACACCCCAGAGCGATCTGTCGGTGCGGAGGGGCAGGGGCCCTGGGGAGAGGGCAAGGGGGCAGGTGGCGAACCTGAGGGAGGGCACCAAGGGTGGGGTCAGAGCTGGCCGGGGAGGGGGATTGAGCAATGGGTGAAGCTCTGAGACAAAGGAATAGAGAAAGGGACAGGCCCAGCCAGCAGACAGACGGGGAGAGGCAAGCCTAGGGGAGGGCCAGGCACGGAGAAAGCCACGAGGAGAGAAGACACCAGGGGAGGCCAGGAGGCCCGGCGGATAGTGGCTGGGCACCCCGAGTCCACAGGAGTAGGGGGACAGGTGCCCAGGGAGCCTAAGGACAGACAGACGGGCTGACTGGCTGGTGGGCTGGGAGGCATCTGGGATCAGGAGAACAGACAGCCCGGCAGGCCGGGGCCTGGCCTGTGGAAAGGGGAGGGGGGAGGGGCCGGGGCTGGGGCGGGCGATCAGAAGCGGGAGGCCAGGCCCCGGCCCACGGGGATCAGCGTGGCAGAGCGGAGGCCCTTTCCCACGTGGTGCCCTAACCTTGTTCTCCACACCCGGGGCACGGAGGGGATTATCACCAGACCACTGGGCCTCCCTGCCACCCACCCCCAGCCTCGGCTGCCCTTAACTCTTTCCCCCCCAGGCGCAAAGCCCAGAACCGTGCTGAGGAAGAGGACCGGGACGGGTGGGGCTGGAAGCCCGGTCGCCCTGGGGCTGGGAAGTGGGTGCAGAAAGCCTGCGGGCTGGGGAAGGCGGGTGCTAGGCTCCCCTTCGCGCTGCAGGTGGGAGGACCTGTGCCGGGGTTTCGGAGGACTTTCTGTGGTCTCAGCCCCAAGTCTGCCACCCTAGGCCTCAGGGTCCAGGGACCTGGGCCTCCACATTCTCCTCTGATCCTGAGGTCCCCAGAGCAGATGGGGGAACAGATGTTGGGGGTGGCGGGTGTTGAGGGAGGAGGGAGAGAGGCAGGACAGGGCAGAGCCAGAGGCCAGAGGGCCCAAGGTGGCCAGAAGTCCAGACGTCCAGGATGGCTGAGCTAGGAAGGACTCGGTGCTGACATGCCCCCCCCCCCTCCCAGGGCCCGCAGCCCCCAATAAGGAACTCACTCAGGTCTGGGGACCTCGGAGTTTCGTTGGGCCCCACTGCCCAGTGCCCTGGCTCAGAACCTGGACCCGGGCTGAGAGTCTGTGAGGACCTGGGGGTGCAGGTGGGGTTACATCTTCCCTCAGCCTGAGTTCACAGCCTCCAGCGTCCCCACTGCCGTTGCCATGTGCAGAGACTGCCTCCCCCTGCCCCTGACGGCGGGCATCACCCTCCGCCCCTTCAGAGGAGCCTGGCGCCATTTTGCGTTCTGGCGGCGGGCAAATGCCCCAGTCCCTCTGCACCAGCAAGTTAAGGACCTGGCTCCATGTCCCTCCCACCCCTCGGCCTGGGTGGTTCAGACCTTAGGGACCTGGCCCCATGTCCCTCCCACCCCTCGGCCTGGGTGGTTCAGACCTTAGGGACCTGGCCCCATGTCCCTCCCACCCCTCGGCCTGGGTGGTTCAGGCCAGACCACTCTCTGGCCCTCAGCACTTTGGGCAACCAGACCGTGAGTCCCCCAGTGCTCCTGAAGGACCCATAAGCCACCCTGCCCACAGGGGAATCCAGATGCCCGGCCCCTGCCCCATCTGGGAGCTGGAGCCCACCCCAGCCCCTTTAGGGAAGAGTCTAGCTGTGCTCCCACCAGACCCATAGCCAGGGACCCCGTGCCTGGGAGGTGTGGGGTCCGTCTGGGCCCCGGGCCCCTTTCCCCGGCTTTCCTGCAAGCAGCCTGCCCTTCGCCCCTGACGCTGGCCAAACCTGCACCCACGAAGAGAGTGTCCTCTGCAGCTCGTTCCTCCCGAGCCTTCCCTCTGCAGGAGCGGTCCGCCGGCCGGCGGGCTCTCGGGAGTGAGTGCTGAGTGGCTGTTCTCAGGCCCCAGGCTAGTGGGGGTTCTGGGCGGGAGCTCAGAGCAGAGCCCGGAGAATCCAACACCACCACCGCCCCCCCACCCCACCCCCTCGCCAACCGCAGCCACGCTCTCCCCGCAGGGACCCTGCCAGCCACACCACCCGGGCCTTTGTGGGACCTGAGAGCTGTTGCCCTCCGGGGGACCGAGGCCGGACAGCCCCCAGCAGGCTGGCCGAGGAGGAGGCTCACAGCAGGTAGGACAGGATGGGACGGGCCAGATGGACTTCCCAGGTCTGGGGTTCCCGCTGCACGCACACTCACGCCCTGGAGCGAGGGCGCGGCTCAGCCACACCTGTGGTGGCTGAGGGTCAGGGCCACACACCGAGTGGGATGTTGTCTTCCTGATGCATAACCCCAAGCCAGCCCCTCCTCCCCTCTGGAACCTTCTGTCAGCTGTGGGTTAACTACGTGCGAAGGTCAGTCATTTTCAAGCCCTGAGAATCGGTGCTCTTGGAAGGGTCAGGCCAGCTGCTGGGAAACCCGAAGACGAGCTGCTTGCTAAGAGGGTGGGGACGGAGGTGAGACGAGACCCTTGGGGCCTCAGTGGTTCCCGCAGCCGAAAGGGGGGACCCCGAGGGGGACCGAGCTCAAAGCCAGCCTTCCCCCTGGCCAGTTTCCTGCGAGGCCACACCACTCCAGCGACATTTTCATGCAAATGTTGCTGCCGACTCTAGGACACATTAATGGTTTTAACTAGAAAAATAATGTTCCCATCACTTCGTGCTGAGCAAGGCGAGGGCCTCGGGAAGATGAGGCGCAGATATCTGCTGCCGCCGCCTTGCTCTGGCATTGACTGTGGCTCCGTGTGGGCCCGACCCGGACAGGGACCCGGGGACCCGCTGCGCAGAGCCGGCCCTGGGGCGGGAGGGCGCAGCCCAGGCCATCGGTGTGTCCAGTTCGGGTGGAGGGGCCAGCCCGGCGGGAGCCAGGACAGGGACATCGGCTTTGAAAGTGAGCTGTAAAAGAGAGGGATTGGGGGCCGAGACACCCCCAAATCAGAGGGCACATCGGCCTGAGGGCGGGCGGGGTGAGTGGCAGGGTAAGGAGGTGCGGTACTGACCCACTCGGCCTTTCAGGGGTTCTCCCTGTGGGTCCCACACGGCTGAGCACACGTGGGCGCACACAAAGACCGCCCTTGTCAGCCTCACAGTCCAGGGCCAGGCGAGATCAGAGAAGTAATAAGCGATGGCGTTCTAGAACACGGTGGAAGGTGACAAGTACTTTGGAGCAGAAGCAAGAAGGGAAGTGGATGGGGAGGGCGGGAGCCCAGAGGGGACGTCTGTGCTGTGACCGAAGGAGGCGAGGGCAGGCCTCGGGGCAGAGCGTGGGCAGGACCGACACAGGCCGAGGGAGCCGAGGCGCAAGGGCTGGTTTGGCTGCCAGAGGACATTCGGGGAGAAGGTGTAGGTCTCACTTTCTTTTCCTCCCCACCGGGGACAAGAGTTTCTTAAGCTAATGTTGCCTGGAGGGGAGCCATTCCTCCCTTTTGTTCTTAATGGCCTGAGCTCCTGAGGCGATTAGCACCCCTGGGGTGCTTGGGGGGGAGGGGGGAAGGGGCAGAAGCAGCCAGAGGGAGAGGAAACCATTTCCCCCAAGTTGGAAAGGGGACTTTGGGTGGGGGGTTTTCCTAAAGTATTGAGCACCTTCACCCTCATAGCACCCCAGAATGGAGAGAGGACCCCCCAGGGCACAGCTCGGAGGTGGCTCAGCAGGGTAGGGTCCAACCCAGAAATAGCAGAGTCCCCGTGAGGCAGGGCAGGTTAAACCCTGCATATAAACCAAGAGAGAGTATGTTTGCCCTCAGGACATACTTGAAAAATCCAGGACAGCAATTGACAGCAGATTCCTGAAGCACAGGGCCTGGGTTCAAATCCAGACTCTACCTTTTTCCTAGCTGTGTGACCGAAAGCAAGTTTCTTAACCTCTCTGTGCCTTAGTGTCCTCACCTGTTAAATGGGCATAAAAATGTACCTTCCTCCTGGGCGAGCATGAGGACTAAATGAGCGAAGACAGGCCTACAGTCTCGTATCGGAAACTCTTTAGACCAGACGTTTTGGAACCTGTGTTTTCCCGCCATCGTGGGATGAATAGGCAGCTTGTCCCTCAGCCCCACGGGCGGGGCCTGGACAGTATCCCACAATCAAACGTTTCAACAGCAAAACACACAGGCGTTCACACTAAGTCTACAAATTGCCACACGTTGGTTCAGGGCAGATCTCGTCCCCAAACGAGTTCCGTTCGGGTTGGGGTTTGCCACCCGTCTTAGGAAAGGGGCCGATAAGGAGCCCACGACAGTGAGCGCCGAGGCCAGTGCCTGGCAGGAACCACAGGAGCCACCGCCTTGGTCTCTTACTCCCGCAGCTTTTCTGTTGTTCGGGCTGATGAACAGCCAGAAGAGGGAGCTCTCGAGACCCCAGGACCCTGTGGCCCCAGATCTGGCCACCTGGTATTTAGAGCTCGGTGCAAAATGAAAATGAAGGGTATCTTGTTCAGATTTACTGAGACTTTCTAGACGCAGAAAGCACAGCATTAAACCAAACACTGGGCCCTTTTGTGTGCAGAGCCTCATGTGACGGCTCGGGTCATGCACTGTGGAGGTGGCGCTGGGTGGTAGTACCTTTGTCCTGAGCTGGTTCCTCCTCCTCAGCAGCCCAGGCTGCAGTCCCCGCTGGGCTCTGGCTGGGCCAGGGAGCTGGCTAGAGGCTGAGGCCTTCTCCGTGCAGGACCTCAGGCAGGAGCAGAGGTGGGCAGGCAGTGTGATAGGATTGAGACAGAGTTGTCACCAGCCCAGGGAGAAGAAGGGCTCTGGGGCAGAATTCACCCACTTGTTGGAAACTAAAGCAGCAAGCAAGACATTTCTTGTACAGATGCTACTTGACTTACGATGGGGTTGTGTCCGATAAAGTTCAAAACACCACAAGTTGAAAATGCATTTAGTACACCTAACCTACCACACATCACAGCTTAGCCTGGCTGGTCTTAAATGTTCTCAGAACACTTACATCAGCCCACAGTTGGGCAAACTCACCTCGCTGCTGCTGCTGCACAACATCAGGAGAGGGTATCCCACCACATCCTGTTAGCCAGGGAAAAGATGAGAATTCAGAACAGCAAGTATGGTTTCCACCGGATGAGTGTTTCTTTCGCACCACTGTAAAGCCAAAAAATTGTAATTCGGGGACCGTCTGTGCACCTCAGTGGAAGGAATGTGACATCATACTTAGTCCTCATGTGGTAAGAGCCAGCTGATCTCACTGGGGATCCACCTCAAATGTGATTCATTCAAGGAGGGCCCTAGAGCCCGGCCAGTGTGGCTCAGTGGATTGAGTGTCACCCCATGGATTGAGAGGTCCCGGTTCAGTTCCTGGTCAGGGCACACACCCAGGTTTCAGGCTTGATCCCCGGTAGGGGACGTGCAGGAGGCAGCCAATCAGTGTTTCAAACTCACATTGATATTTCTCTCTTTCTCCCTTTTCCTTCTCCTCTCTCTAGAAATCAATACACTATTCTTAAAATAAATTTTTTTAAAAATTAAAAAAATGAGAATCTGATACTAAGTGAAAGAAGCCAGTCACAAAGAACCGCGTATTGAATGAACCATTTATATGAAGCATACCAGAGCAGTGCACCATGGAGACAGAAGAGGAGACGGGGGATGGGAGGATGGGGTGGCTAAAGTGCAGGGTTTCTGCCCTGGCCAGTTTGGCTTAGCGGTTAGAGCGTCGGCCTGCGGTCCAGAGAGACCCGGGTTCGGTTCCCGCTAAGGGCACGTACTTCGGTTGCAGTTTGTCTCCAGCCCTGGTTGGTCGTGCGGGTGGCAGCCACTCGATGTGTCCCTTCACGTCAATGTTTCTCTCTCTGTCTCCCTTCCTCTCTCTCCCTCCCACTCTATCTGTACAAAAAATGGAAAAATATCCTCGGGTGAGGATAAAAAAATAAATAAATAAATAAAGTGCAGGGTTTCTTTCTGGGGTGACAAAAATTTTCTAAAAATTGTGATGGTTGCACGACCCTGTAAATATACTGAAAAGCCATTAAATTGCACAGTTTTAATGAGTGAATTGCATGGTATTTGAATATTTAATAAAGTGATTACCAAAAAATTGAAAAAGGTTCATCACAGACCTTAATATAAAAACTAAAGCTATACAGATTGACATGCCAATTCAGAGCGAATGTCACAGAAGCAGGAAGTGGGAACTGCCGGACCTTGAAGTCGTGGTCCAGAACCGGCACAATGTCCCTTCTGCCACGTTTGATTGGCCAAGGCCATCACGGGCCCACCCAGATTCAAGGGAAGGGGTGAAGAATCTGTGATGGGCTTGAACCCACCACACCCACTGACAGTAACAGGAAGCACTGACCACGGCAGGGGCCCTTTGAAGTGTGCTTCGCGGAGGTGCTGTGGGTAACCCCGTTTTACTGAGGGGAAGACTGAGGCCCAGGGAGTTCAACAACATGCTTAGGGTTGCCCAGCCAGCAGGAGTCAGAGCCCACACCTGAACCCGGGCTGCCAGGCCTGAGAATCTGTGTCCCTGACCTCCACGTCGCACTGCCTTCTTGAACTGTGGACTCCCAGGGGACGAAGATTCACTAGTAACTAGTCTGGAAGTACGTTTTATGACACTTATAGAGCACTTCCTATGTGATAGACACTTTCCTAAAAATGACAAGTACCACCCACTTTATTTAATCCTCATGCGAACCTATTAAGTAAGTCTGTTAGGTTGGACCATATGCAATGGCGTAAGGTCAAATATTGGCACTTTCAAATGGTTCGACCTAATCATCCTTGTTTAACAGGCGAGGAAACTGGGATTCAGAGACGTGGAGTAACTTGACTAAAGTCACACAGCACTAGTGGGGGAGGAGCTGGAATTCAGACCCAGGCCTGGAGCTCCACCGAGGAGGCCACCGGACATGGTTGCATGGGTTGAGTGAGTGAACGAATGGATGACTTGGGAGGGGAGAGGGAATGAGACAACGGGGGAATGTCCAGCCATCCCTTCTAACGTAGGTCCTCTCTCTTCCCTGCAGCCATTATGGGATTCTGGGCCACTTGCCCTTCCTTCTCCACCATCCTCTTCTTCGTCGTCATCTTTGTGGTGTCCACCATCTTCCACTGCCACCAGCGCCTGGCTCTGGTGCCCACCCCCTGGGCCTCCCCAGGCCACGTGGTCCTAGTGCCCAGGCACCTCCCCCAGGGCGGCATGTTTACCATCAACTCCAAAGGCCGCCTGGGGAACCAGATGGGTCAGTACGCCACCCTGTACGCCCTGGCCAAGATGAACGGGCGGCCGGCCTTCATCCCGGCCGAGATGCACAGCAAGCTAGCCCCCATCTTCAGAATCACCCTCCCGGTCCTGCACAGCACCATGGCCAGCAGGATCCCGTGGTGGAGCTACCACCTGAACGACTGGATGGAGGAGCGGTACCGCCACATCCCAGGGGAGTATGTGCGCCTCACCGGCTACCCCTGCTCCTGGACCTTCTACCACCACCTGCGCGCGGAGATCCTCCGCGAGTTCACCCTGCACGACCACGTGCGGGCGGAGGCCCAGAGGTTCCTCCAGACCCTGCAGGCCCGGCGAGCCCGGCAGGTGACCTTCGTGGGGGTCCACGTGCGCCGGGGGGACTATGTCCATGTCATGCGGCAGGTATGGAAGGGGGTGCTAGCCGATCGGGCCTACCTGCAACAGGCCCTCGACTGGTTCCGGTCCCGCTACCACACCCCGCTCTTCGTGGTCACCAGTGACGACATGTCGTGGTGCCGGCAGAACATCAACAGCTCCCTCGGGGATGTGGTGTTCGCAGGCAATGGCCTACAGGGCTCTCCTGCCAAGGACTTCGCGCTGCTCACACAGTGTAACCACACCGTCATCACCGTGGGCACCTTTGGGGTCTGGGCTGCCTACCTTGCAGGAGGGGACACTGTCTACCTGGCCAACTTCACCCTGCCCGGTTCCCACTTCCACATGGTCTTCAAGCCACAGGCGGCCTTCCTGCCTGAGTGGGTGGGCATTGCGGCCGACCTCGGACAGGCCGTTAAAAACAGCCCCTAGCCCTGGCCGGTTTGGCTTGGTGGTTAGAGCGTTGGCCCACGGGGTTCAATTCCAGTCAAGGGCATGTATGTAGGTTGCAGGTTTGATCCCGAATTAGTCAGGAAAGTGCGGGAGGCAGCCAATCGTCTATGTGTCTCTGTCCCTCCCTCCCTTCCACTCTTTCTAAAAAATCAATGGGAGCCCTGGCTGGTTTGGCTCAGTGGTTGGAGTGTTGGCCTGTGGACCAGAGAGTCCTGGGTTCGGTTCCCGCTAGGGGCATGTACCAAAAATAAATAAATAAATAATTTTAAAAATTAAAAATCAATGGGAAATATCCTTGGGTGAAGATTAACAACAAAAAGATTTATTTTTTATTTTCACCCGAGGACATTTTTGCATTTATCTTCAGATAGAGCTGGAGAGAGAGAGGGAGGAAGAGACAGAGAGAAACATCGATGCAAGAGAGACACATCGAGTGGCTGCCACCTACACAACCCCAACCAGGGCCAGGGACAAACTGCAACCGAGCCACGTGCCCTTAGCGGAAACCGAACCCAGGACTCTGGTCCGCAGGCAGATGCTCTAACCACGGGGGGGGGGGGGCGCCGCGTGAGCCCACCCCTAACCCCCTCGCGGTCACACCATGCTTAATCACAATTAATCAAAATTGGCCAGGGCCAACAAAAATATTTAAAAAAAAAAAAGGCTCCTAGCCCTGTACGTGTCCCGCCCCCATCCTTGGGGGGCAGGCAATTCAGCATCTGACCCCCAAGTTTGAATCCAAGCTGCTCTGCTTCTCAGCTGGGTGCCCTCGAACAAGTGACTTCACCTCTCTGTGCCTTAGAGTGCCACCTGGAAAAGGAACATAACACAGAACGTACCTCGGCAGCCTCTGGTGAGAACTCAACACGTTCACTTCGAGCCACGGGGCGTGTTGGCCACTGACGGGTCAGTGGGCAGCAAGCCCAGGGCCCTTGGGCGGCGTGGAGATGGAAGCGGGTCTTGCTCTCTTCTTTGCAGTCCTGGGAGCACACAGACCAGATATTTTGCCCTTGCCTCCTGGGAGAGTTTGGCGATGAAGCCATCCCTGTCCCCGACTGAAGGGGAGTGGGTGTTTTGGGCAGCTAAGAATTCAGGCTTTGGGTTTAATGGGGCCTTGTCATGAAAGGATGTGAGAGAAATCAGGATTGGAGGGAATGGCTCTCGGGGAGACACCTTGGTGGCAGGGAGAGTCCCCTGAAATGGGTGTGGGAGTGGGAGGGCCTCACGGTGACAACGGGACTGGGCACCAGGCTTCAAGTGGCAGCAGCAAAGACCCCCAGTGTCCACATGTTATAGAAGCAGCAGGCTGACCCCAAGGTCAGAGACCCGGCCATGGCCACGTCAGCAGTCACCACAGGTGACCTCCCAGCTTGGTCCTGCTGTGCCCCCAGGACTTCGTGCCATTCTGACAAACCCCAGTATGGACTAAAGTTGAACGTAGTGATTATCGGTTTTCTGTGTTCAGTGTGTTTTCAAGTGTAGAGATACCAGTCCTTTTATTGGTGTAATTCTCCTCTTTGGATATTAAGAAAAACTTAACATACTCTCATTTATATTGATTTAAAATGTCCACCGAATGTAGGTGCACTGGTTTAGAAAGCATTTAGAGCACATGTCTTCTGTTTTGAAAGCTTTTCAAATGTCTTATTTATTTGAATCCCCACTTATGTGCGTATTCTGAGGATGCGCACCTTTCCTTTCGTGTATTAATAATGTTGCATCTCCCCAAAGCCATTTTGGACCTCAGTCTACTTCTTTGAGTCTTTGATGGCGCCATCGTGGTGCGGGGCCAGTATTAAAGCAAGCAGGAGAAGGGCTGGGGAGGAGGGGAGAACTGGGGAGGGAGGTCCTGTATTAGCTACCTATTACTGCGTAACAAATAACCCCAAATCCAGTAGTTTGAAATGACAACAATACTTTATTATCTCTTATTGTTTCTGTGGGTCAGGAATTTGGGAGTGGCTTAGACGATGACTGTGTGGGACGCCCAGTGAGGCTGCTGTCAGGTGCCAGCCGGCCAGGGCTGCGGTCATCTGAAGGCTTGAATGGGGCTGGGAGTCCGTTCCCACAGCTAGAAAGTTGGTGCTGGCTCTTGGCTCTCAGCCACATCCTCTTTTTATACAAAAAAAAAAAATTCAATATATTGTTTTATTTATTTTTAATATGTTTTTATTGATTGTTTTAGAGCGAGAGATAGAAACATCGATGTAAGAAACATCGATTTGCTGCCTCCCACATGTCCCTACCAGGGATCGAGCCCATAACCCGGGCATGTGCCCTGACTGGGAATCGAACCCGGACCTCTCAGTCTCTGGGACGACACTCGATCCACTGAGCCTCACTCGTCAGGCTTAAATTATGTTTTCATTGCCCTGACCAGTGTCACTCAATGGTTGGAGCATCAGCCTGTGCACTGAAGGGTTCGATTCCTGGTCAAGAGCATGTATCTGGGTTGTAGGTTTGACTCCAAAGACCCAGTCGGGGTCATGCAGGAGGCAACCAATCCATTTGTCTCTCTCACATCAATGTTTCTCTCTCTTTCTCTCTCTCACTCTCGTTCTCCCCCTCCCTCCCTATCCTTGGGTGAGGATTAACAAAAAAATATTTTTTTATTGATTTTTTTTTCTAGAGAGAGAGGAAAGTAGAGGGGGGGGGGGGGAGAGAGAGAGAACGATTTGTTGTTCCACTTATTTATGTATTCATTGGTTGATTCTTATATGTGCCCTGACTGGGTATTGAACCCACAACCTTGGCATATTGGGACAATGCTCTAACCAGCTGAGCTACCTGGCCAGGGCCTGGCCTCATTTTAATATAATGATACATATAAACATCCTGTCCCTAAATGCGGTAACATTCTGAGGTCCTGGGGGTTAGGACACAATTCAGCCCATGACAACTGGCTGCGCTGGCTCCCGGCCTCCCTTCCCAGCCCTCCCGGAAGAGTCCTCCCCTTTCCCTTTATTCTCAGCTCCAGCCCTTAGCCAGGATCTTTCCCAAATTATCCTTTCTGGAGAGAGACTCAAGCCGGAAGGATCAAGGATCCAGGAACCTCAGTCCTGACCCTGGCCCTCTACCAAGTTCAAGTGTAACATCAACGTGCAGAAGTGGATGGCAACTGTATCTCACATTTCAACAACATATTTATGGGCCAGGCCCCTTCTGTTGCCCCAAATCTCTTCTCCAACTTCCCCTGCCCTGCTCTGTGCCCTGGCAGGCCGATAGACTAAGTGCTGCCGACACTCCAGGGTTGGTATTAGGAGGTGGGGCCTTTGTTAGGCTGTCAGGGTGGAGCCCTCATGAATGGGACCGGTGCCCTTATAAGGAGACACAAAAAAATTCTCTTCCTGCCATCTCTCTGCAAATAAGGAAGCTGCTCGCACCAGGATCTGAGCCTGCAGCACCGTGGCCTGGGACTTCTCAGCCTTCAGAACTGGGAGGAAGCCTCCCAGAGCGTGGTATTTTGTTACCGGAGCCCAAACTAAGACAGTCTGTGGGCCCCACAGTCCAGAAATCGGAGGAGGAAGGGGGTGAAGCTGGGGTATTTCTTCTCCCAGATCCATCCTTGCCAGTTTAGAGGTGGCCACAGCTTCAGCCTATCAAAGTCGTCTGCTGCCTACAAGCGTCCCATCTCCTGCTGGGACCCTGAGTGCCACCAGGATTTAGGAATCACACAAAGGAAATTCGGGGTGTGGGAGATGAACCAAAGGACTTGCACACACATATGCTTAACCAGTGGACCCAGACAATAGTTTGGGGAAAGCAGGAGGGAGTTGGGGTGGGGAGGAGGGGGTCAATAGGGGAAAAAAGAGGAGACATCTGTAATACTTTCAACAATCAAGATTAAAAAAACGAAAATCCAGCCCTGGCCAGTTTGGCTCAGCGGTTAGAGCGTCGGCCTGCGGTCTGGAGAGACCCGGGTTCGGTTCCCGCTAAGGGCACGTACTTCGGTTGCAGTTTGTCCCCGGCCCTGGTTGGGTCGTGCGGGTGGCAGCCACTCGATGTGTCCCTTCACGTCGATGTTTCTCTCTCTCTCCCTTCCTCTCTCTCCCTCCCACTCTATCTGTACAAAAAATGGAAAAATATCCTTGGGTGAGGATAAAAAAACAAAAACGAAAATCCTGCCCTGGCCAGTTTGGCTCAGCGGGTAGAGCGTTGGCCTGCGGTCCAGAGAGACCCCAGTTCGGTTCCCGCTAAGGGCACGTACCTCGGTTGCAGTTTGTCCCCGGCCCGGCCCTGGTGCAGGTGGCAACCACTCGATGTGTCCCTTTTGCATCGATGTTTCTCTCTCTCTTTCTCTCTCTCTCCCTCCCTCCCTTCCTCCCACTCTATCTATCTGAACAAAAAATGGAGGAATGTCCTTGGGTGAGGATACAAAAAAATCCCCACCTTGGCATTTTGCTCTGGCAGAGATCACTCGCTGAATTTCTTGCCAGCCCAGTGGAATGAAGACTTGTTCCCAGAGTCAAGTTGATTCAGAGAAAAGAATGAAGAGGTGTGGTATCTCTGGTAGATGTGAGGGACAAGAATGAGCATGAGCTACCACGGCCCAGTCCCCAGGGCTGCAGAGCCGAGCGCTAGTTTCTTACACATCTTCTCTCGCGCATCTTGGGGGTGATGGAGGTGCTGGGGGAGGATCCAGAAGACCCATCCTCGGGGCCACCTTCCATGTTGTCTCCCCACATGAGGTCTCCACCCAGAGGGGCCCTGCTGGTGGCCCCGCGGTCACAGGCCAGCTTCCGGGAGCTGGGTGCTGCAGTGTACACGCCGTACTCAGTTCTGTTTGTCTAAACACTGAGGGGTTCAGTCCCAGCCCCACGTTCAAACTGCCTAACCTGGAAGAGGAAGTTCAGGACTTTTATGAGGACCAAAGCAGAAACAGGCTGGCCGTCAACAATGAATTGCACTAGCGCTTTCCACAAATATTTACCAAGCTCCTTCCTGGGTTTGCAAGTCAAAAGCAGCAGATGGCAAGCCCGTGAAAGACCCCTACCCCCCGCTCCTTCCCAGTGGGGACAGGAAGCCCAGAAGGACAGGAACTACTGACGGTCGCCAAAGACAGAGCTCTCGGACGGTCTGGAGCACACAGTATGCATTTCTTTTTTTTTTTTTTTTTTTATCCTCACCCGAGGACATTTTTCCATTTTTTGTTCAGATAGAGCGGGAGGGAGAGAGAGGAAGAGAGAGAGAAACATCGATGTGAAGGGACACATCGAGTGGCTGCCACCCGCACGACCAACAAGGGCCGGGGACAAACTGCAACCGAGGTACGCGCCCTTAGCGGGAACCGAACCCGGGTCTCTCTGGACCGCAGGCCGACGCTCCAACCGCTGAGCCAAACCGGCCAGGGCAGTATGCATTTCTTACGGGCGGAATTGTGTCTCCCAAAAAGATATGTTGAAATCCTAACCCCCTCAGAACCTCAGGATGTGACGTTGTTTGGAAACAGGTCTTTACAGATGTAATCAGTAAAGAAGAGGTCATACCAGAGAAGAATGGGCCCTCACTCCAACATGACCCATGACAGAACACCGTGTGATGACAGAGGCCGGCATTGGCTTTGAGCCTTCAGAACAGTGAGATAATTTTCTGTTCTTTTTTTAAATCCTCACACAAGGATATATCTTTTCCATTGATTTTTCAAGAGAGTGGAAAGGAAGGAGGGAGGGGAGAGAGAGAGAGAGAATGGATGTGAGAGAGAGAGAGAGAGAGAATGGATGTGAGAGAGATATATGGATTGGTTGCCTCTCGCATGCGCCATGACCAGGACCAGGATCTAACCTGCAACCCAGGTACGTGCCCTTGCCTGGGAATTGAACCCGTGACCCTTCGGTGCCTGGGCTGACACTCTAACTGCGGAGCCACTCCAGCCAGGGCACCTGTCAGGCATTCTTCTTTTTTTTCTTTCTTTATTTTTTTTAATCCTCACCCGAGGACATTTTTCCATCCTTTGTACAGACAGAGTGGGAGGGAAAGAGAGGAAGGGAGAGAGAGAGAGAAACATCGACGTGAAGGGACACATCGAGTGGCTGCCACCCGCACGACCAACCAGGCCGGGGACAAACCGCAACCGAAGTACATGCCCTTAGCGGGAACCGAACCCAGGTCTCTCAGGACCGCAGGCCGACGCTCCAACCGCTGAGCCAAACTGGCCAGGGCTCTTTTTTCTTTATTGATTTTTAGAGAGAGAGGAAGGGAGAGTGGGAGAGAGATAGAAACATCGATGAGAGGGAACATCAACTGGCTACCTCCTGCACAACCCCCACTGGGGATTTGGCCCACAACCTGGGCATGTGCCCTGACCGGGAATCGAACCAATGACCTTTTGGTGCATGGGTCGCCGCTCAACCACTGAGCCACACCAGCCTGGCAGGCATTCTTTTTTGTTTTTGTTTTTTTCCCCACCATCACAAATTATGCAGTCGGGAGTTTTCCACGTTTGGGGAAATCGGCAGGGGTCAGCACTCCCGAGAACAATGGCTAAGCCTCGCCCCGCCCCCGGGGAAAACCACCAAAACCACCTTCGGATCGTGGTGTCTCCCCTGTGTCAGGCATCCTTGCGGGTGAAAAATCTGCTTCTACGTCTCTGAGCCCAGAATCTGCTTGGAGTTTGTTATAAGGCTCCTTTGCTTCTTTTCCCATGTCACTGAATGCTCGGGTAAAACAGGTCACTTGTCCTGCAGATCGTCCCACATCCTGGACTTGGCTCATTGTGTCCCCACGGGGTCAGTTCACTGGTAACTTTATCCTCCTGTTTTCTGAAAACTGGCGATGGCAGTGGGTGAGAGGCGCCCTCAGATTCAGGCTTCAGGGGTAGAGGGTGAGGCAGGCAGATGGTGCAGGTCCCGTGTTTGTCCCTCGTCAGCGTTAAGATCGCAGGGGGCCCGGGCAGTGCCCACCCCAAGCACCCCCCGTAAACTTCCTCGTCAGTCCTACACCTGATTTTGGCAGCTGCGGACAAGCATCGTCCGGCCCCACGACGCACCATTAGAGGAGGCACAATGGTCATGTCCTAAGAGAACCCCTTTTGAAATAAGGGACACGGAGAAAAGCTGCCATGTGCCGGGTATTTTTCCAAGCTTGGGGTCCGCCCCGTTTCAAATTCCAGCTTCTAGGACTTTCTAGCTGTGTGACCTTGGGCAAGTCCCTTCCCCTCTCTGTGCCTTGGTTTCCACCTCTGTACCACAGGGCTATGAAGATTGTCTACCTCAGCCCTGGTTGGTTTGGCTCAGCAGTTGGAGCATCAGCCTGTGGACCAGAGAGTCCCAGGTTCGGTTCCCGCTAGGGGCACATACAAAAATAAATAAATAAATAAATAAATAAATAAATAAATAAATAAATAAAATAAAGGACAAGAAAGAAAGAAAGAAAGAAAGAAAGAAAGAAGAAAGAAAGAAAGAACAGAGAGAGGACCCCAGAGGGTTGGGGGTCTGGACTAGCCTGGCGGGAGCCCCCTCCTCCAGGCTGCCCTCCAGCAGGAGGTGGGAGGGAGGCTGGGTTCTCCGGCTCTGGCAGCCGGTCACCCCGCCTCCATAGGCTGGGAGGCCAGGTAGAGATCCTGGGCGGAGTTTATCTGCAGCAGGGAAGGACAGCTCTGGAAATTTCTGAGTGAAGAGTTGACCCCAAGGGGAGTGAGCCCGCTGAGCTGCCCCTGGAGGCACCTACCATCCGCTCCCCAGGTCCTGCGACCAGAAGCAGGTGAGAGGCAGGTGGGGAGGTCACAGCCCGGGGCGCTTGCACGGGCTCGCAGAGGGCTGGGCACAGACTTGAACCAGGGTTTTGGCAACTGGAAACTCCGTGGTCCTCTCCTTGGTCTCTGGTCCCCTCTGGGGTGCGTGCCCACCCCAGGGATTCCCAAAGCAGGTGGAGGGTCCGTTCCTCGCCACCCAGGCTCCACCTGTCCTGCCCCCAGCACACCGCCACCTGACCTTCAAGCCTGGGGACCCCCTCAGCTCCTATCCCTTCCTTTCTTCCTTGCAGATCCTACATGAGCACCCACCCCTCTGTCACCTCCCGACCCCAGGCCACCTGCTCCCTCCCTCCCGCCCCCCACCTCCTACCACCGGGTTCTTGCAGCCAATTTGAGAATGAATGTGCAGAGGGACCGGCCAGAGCAGGGCGGTAGGAACCTGCGTTTCCTGTTCTCCTCTTAGGATCTGCTCCCCCACCTCCCGGAGGTAGGGCAGGACCCCCCACAGGTCTCAGGGGATCTCCGAGACCTGGGGCTGCCACCCCCACCAGCAGGCCCACCCTCACCCTGAGGTGGCTTGATCTCGGGCTTCCTAATCCCCTCCTGAGCCACCCCTTCTGTTCTAAGCCAGGGAATAAAGTTGGGGATATCAAAGTGGCAGCCCCACATTTTATCTTAAGCTCTTCCCCAGAGTTGTGATTACAGAGCAGATTTCTGGGAACAGAAATAGACAGGGCAAACCTGCCCGGAGAATGGAGGAAGGACGCAGGAGCAGGCAGCTGGGTGGGGACTGAATTTGGTGGCCCGGGCAAACCGGCGGTGGCTGGAGGCTGGGAAAGGGGTAGGGAGGGACTTTCAGAGCAGATGGAACCGGACTGCCCTGGGTGGGTGTGGGAAGGAGAGAGAGGACTTATTCTGGGGGATCAGCTGGTAACCTGGCCTGGGGTGGTGTTGGGGGGGGGGAGAGAAAGTCCAGGCAGGGCTCTGAGCAGGGGAGGGGCAGGACCAGCTCTGAGTGTGGGGACAGATGTGACGGGAGCCAGGAGGCTGGGGCCAGGCTCCAGACGGGCTGAGTCTGGGACAGAGAGAAGTGGATGAAACATGAGTTTAAATGAAAGGATCTGCAGATGTTGTGGCCCCGTTTGCCTTCCCTCCCTCTTTTCTCTCTCCCTTCCTTCTGCTCCCCCTTCTTCCCTCCATCCTTCTGCCTTCCCACACCATGGCCCTTGACCCCTGTTGTCCCATGTCCTCTTCTTGGCAAATTAGGAGCCAAGCTTACTCCTTGCCTTGCAAGTGCTCAGTCTAGTGGGAGAAAGGAAGAGAGCCACACACGGAAGTGGGCAGGAGCCTGGCCGGTGTGGCTCAGTGGTTGAGCGTCGACCCACGCACCAAGAGGTCACCGGTTCAATTCCCGGTCAGGGCACGGGCCCAGGTTGTGGGCCCGATCCCCAGTGGGGGGCATGCAGGAGGAGGCCAATCCCATGTCATCCATGTTTCTATCTCTCCCTCCCACTCTATTTGATGATAAATAAATTTTTATTTGTTTTTGTTTTTGGTACCTGCCCTTAGCGGGAACCGAACCCGGGACTCTCTGGTCCGCAGGCCGACGCTCCAACCGCCGCTCCAATAATTATAATAATAATTATTATTATTAACAAATAATAATTTGTTATTTTGAACAAATAAATTGTTCAAAAGTGTCCTCGGGTGAGGAATAAAATCAATAAAGGCATATTTAATATTATTTTTAAAAATCAAACATCAACCGTGGCAAGTAGAATACAGGCGTACTCGCCCACTCCCAGAGTCAGCTCTGTCCACTGTATCTGCTTCCGACGGTGAGAGGGTGAGAGGCTGCCCTGGTTGGCCTCAGAGTTCACAACTTCTGCATGAGAGTGATACCTCTTCTAGGTCTGTTCCCATCTCACTCCTGTGTGGCTCCTGCCAACTCTGCGATCTGTGTGGTCGACAAGCTAGACTGACCATGACCAATCTACCCAATATGAGTCCTTGGCCCAGAGCCCATACAGAAGAGCACCCTTTGCTTTGTATGTGATAATATTGAAAACATACTGCATGCATATACGTGGCAGGCACTGTTTTGTCCCTCGGAGAAGTGAAGTCATTTGCCTAGAATCACACAGCTGATGAGAGTGGAAGCAGCAGCTTGTGGCTCTAGGGTGTGTCCTTAGCCACTGGGCAGTAAGGAAATGGACCTTATCTGGAACTGTGGCCATAAGACAGAATCAAATGAAACTTGCTCTGCAAACCCAGCCTCCCCAGCTCCTTTCATTCAAGTCCAAGGGGGTGGGGGTGGGGTTGTACCACCCAGGAGTCTAATTCTGGTTGGGTTCAACACCTGGGGGTGACCCAAGGGGCCCAGATCCCCAGCAGAGTTGGTTACATTCAAATTCAGGCGTCTAGGTGACAAGCCTGAGTTTCTTCTAGAAAGATAACTTTCACTTAATCCTAATGGTCTCTGAGGCTTTGAGTGACTATAATTCAGAAGCAGGGATTTTGCTAAATTAGGTCAGGGGCCAACTTTTTCTTTTTTCTTTATTGCCTTTAGAGAAAGGAAAGGAGAGGGAGAGAGAGAGAAACATTGATGAGAGAGGACATCGATTGGCAGCCTCCCACTGGGGATCGGGCCCACAACCTGGGCATGTGCCCTGACCGGGAATCGAACAGGCAACCTCTTAGTGCATGGGTCAAAGCTCAACCACTGAGCCACGCCGGCCAGTCAGGGGCCAACTTGTATTAGCCATAATTAACCCTGAAGGACAACATTTGCATAGTTCTGGCAGCTTCTCAGGTTCAATCAGTTTACACACTGCTTGATCAAGCCCCATTTCTCTCTTAATGGCCAATTGGATCAATACTATGACCAGGAACTTGGGCCCTGAACCAGACCAACTGGAAATCTACCTTCGCATGGAGCCTCCAGGATACCCAGCAGAATAGAGCCTGCTCATGAGAAAGAGTGTTTGAAAGAGTGGGTGGGAACCTCACCTATACCAGAAAGGAAAAGGGAAGTCATTGGAGGAGCTGGGAGAGCAGAAGACCCTCCTCCCTTTGGCTCCTCCCTTTGGCTCCTCCCCTTGGCTCCTCCCAGATATCCTCATTCCCATCTCTCTGGGTCCCCATCTTGCTCAATCGGTGTGGCCAAACCTGGATTTTTGTTTTGTTTTGTTTTTAATCCTCACCCGAGGATATTTTTCCATTTACCTTCAGATAGAGCAGGAGGGAAGGAAGGAAGGAAGAGAGAGAAAGAGAAACATCGGTGTGAGAGAGACACATCGATTGGTTGCCTCCTGAACGACCCCAATAGGGGACAAACCGCAACCGAGGTACGTGGCACCTTGGCCAGAATCGAACCCAGGACTCTTTGGCCTGTGTGCCAACACTCCAATAGCTGAGCTAAACCAGCCAGGGCTAAACCTAGATTTTTACTGTGGCAACATGGCACAGATATGCGTTCAGCTTGATTGCAGAATGACAAAGTCCACTAACCATTTCTAGATGTAATTATTAGTAATAATAAAGTGAAGATGCCAAGAGGTCATTGTTCCACTTGTAACTGGCTTCTAGCCACATGCTGGTAGGTCAGAACCAATTCACTTCCTGCTCTACTTACAGCTGCTCTGCTCCGGCTCAGCATCCACATCTTTTTTCTTTTTCTTTTTTCTTTATTGATTTTAGAGAGAGAGGAAGGAAGAGAGTGAAAGATAGAGACATCGATGACAGAGAATATCGATTGGCCGCCTCCTGCATGCCCCCCACTGGGGGATTTAGCCTACAACCTGGGCATGTGCCCTGACCAGGAATCAAACCAGCGACCTCTTGGTGCCTGGGTCCACACTCAACCACTGAGCCACACCTGCTGGGCAGCAACCACATCTTTGAAGTCTCATCTTTTTGGGACCCTTGATTAGTCCTAAGGGTTCCCAGATGACAGATTAATTAACTTCTTCACTCTACAAATCACTGTTTCAAATTTTAAGACCTAGCATGGGGAATTCTCAGTGCTGTCTACCTACCGTAATACCTCGGTGAGTCCCAAGTGTTCTTGGAAGGTCTGTTTGGTGCAACCACCCCACTCCTGGAACTGATTTCTGCTGTAACCAGAGTTAAAAAAAACAGGTTGGCCCTGGCCGGTTTGGCTCAGCGGTTAGAGTGTTGGCCTGCGGACTGGAGAGTCTCAGGTTCGGTTCCCGCTAAGGGCACGTACCTTGGTTGCAGTTGGTCCCAGGCCCTGGTTGGGTTGTGTGGGTGGCAGCCACTCGAAGCGTTCCAATACCTACCCTCTCTTTCAAGATCAACCGTGGTCTCATAGAATGATATTTGGTCGTGGGGCCCAGTTCCCAGCACAGCTCATAAAATCATGTGCATTGCCTGAATGATAAGAGTGTTTACTGTTCTGATAAGGGCACTCTAAATAGCTTTAGGGTGATCCACAGAAAAACAAGTCTTGGTTAGAAGACTGGACCTTTCGTCTCCACCCACCCCTCAGCCTCTGGGGGAAGGAGGGGTGCCAAAGACTGAGTTAATCACCAGTGGTCAATGATTTAATCAATCATGCCTATATAATGAAACCTCCATAAAACGCCTAAACAACCCAGCCGGTGTGGCTCAGTGGTTGAGCGTCGACCCTGCACCAAGAAGTCGCCAGTTCAATTCCCAGTCAGGGCACATGCCCAGGTTGTGGGCCTGATCCCCCGTGGGGGGCATGCAGGAGGCAGCCAATCGATGTTCTCACTCATCGATGTTTCTTTCTCTCCCTCTCCCTAAAAATCAATAAAGAAAAAAAAAACTTTCTTTTTAAAGCCTGAACAAGCCGTGGCCTGTTGGTTCAGTGATAGAGCATTGGCCCATGGACCAATGAGTCACGGGTTTGATTCCGGCCAAGGGCATGTACTTCGGTTATGGTTCGTCCCTGGCCCTGGTTGGGGTCGTGCGGGAGGCAACCAGTTGATGTGTCCCTCTCACGTCAATGTTTATCTCTCTCTTCCTTTTTATCCTTCTGTCTCCGTCCCACTCTTTCTGAAGATAAATAGAAAAATATCCTCAGGTGAGGATTAAAAAAAGAAACAACGGCCTAAACAACGGGGTTCAGAGAGCCTCTGAGCTGGCACAGACATCCAGGAGCCTGGAGGTTGCACACCCTAGCTGCACGAGGACAGCCCCTGTGCTTAGGACCCTTCTGGATCATCACCCTATGCCCCTCTTCTGACTGTTCATCATTATTATAAGTGTCAGTCAAGTGCCTTCCTGAGTTCTGTGGGCCATTCTAGCAAATTGTCAAACCTGAGGAGGTCACAAGAATACTGATTTATAGCTGGCCAGTCAGAGTATGACTTGCGATCGGTGACTGACGTTGGGGGCGGTCTCGTGGAACTGAACTCTAACCTGAGGGATCTGATAGTAACCCAGGTAGAGAGTGTCAGAATCTAATTGGACTGTTGAACACCCAGTTGATGTCAGGAGGGGGAAAAAACCCTCTCATGGGCCAACTGCCTCCTGAGCCTGTTAGTAAAAATTCTCAAGAGAAAGAATTAGCCAGCTCATCTCAGAGAGCCGCCACTTGCCAAAGGCCATAGCCGGTGAATGGAGGAGGCACCATGGAGATAGCCACGCGTCTCTCCCAAGCCCAGTCGGCTGTGTCCGGGGGGTAGGCAGGCCAAGTGATGGAGTTCTTGATGGGCCAGGCAATTTCCCTTCAAAGGGGCTATAGATCGGCAGGACATGCAAAGATGGGTACCTCTAGAAACGGGATCCCTAGTAAATAATAGCAGGTTCATCCATTTGTACTCACCATGTACAAATACCCATATACATATACTCACAGACTATAAACACACACAATTAAACACGCAATAAAGATACACATAAACTATGCTCCCATATATATAAACACTCATGTATACACCCAGCCACATGTTCCCAACCAACTGCACAGTCTCTATATAGTACACACCCATATATGTACACAATATATATATACCCCTATAATGCAAGGCACACAGGTCTATTTGTATACAAACACACATGTAAATACAAGGTATAGCTACCCAGATGCACACACACACATGAACCTGATGTAAACACACCTACATAACACACTCTAAAGACAAACCTGCATATACATATCTGAATAGTCACACTCATTTGCATGCACATAAAAAGTAAACCCACCCACACGACGTCTGCAGACACAACTGCCCCGCCCCCCCAGGGCCTCAGCCCCCAGCTAACGTTCCTTGCTCTCCCTCCCCTGACAGCCATGCTCAGCACTCAGGGGCCCTTCTTCCCCATGGCCCACTTCATCCTCTTTGTCTTCACCGCTTCCACCATATTTCACCTTCAGCAGCGGCTGAAGATTCATCCCATGACTGTATTACAGCAGCTAGAACCAGAGGTAACACGGCCTGACACCACCTCGAACCACCTGCCCAGGAGTATGTGGACCATCAATGCGATAGGCCGCCTGGGGAACCAGATGGGTCAGTACGCCACGCTGTACGCCCTGGCCAAGATGAACGGGCGGCCGGCCTTCATCCCGGCCGAGATGCACAGGACGCTAGCCCCCATCTTCAGAATCACCCTCCCGGTCCTGCAGGGCCCCATGAACAGCAGGATCCCGTGGCGGAACTACAACCTGAACGACTGGATGGAGGAGCGGTACCGCCACATCCCCGGGGAGTACGTGCGCCTCACCGGCTACCCCTGCTCCTGGACCTTCTACCACCACCTGCGCGCGGAGATCCTCCGCGAGTTCACCCTGCACGACCACGTGCGGGCGGAGGCCCAGCATTTTCTGAGGGGTCTCCAGGTGAACGGGAGCCAGCCAGGCACGTTCGTGGGGGTCCACGTGCGCCGGGGGGACTACGTCCACGTCATGCCTAATGTGTGGAAGGGCGTCGTGGCCCATCGCGGATACCTGGAGCAGGCCCTGGACTGGTTCCGGGCTCGCTACAGCTCCCCCATCTTCGTGGTCACCAGCAATGGCATGGCCTGGTGCCGGCAGAACATCAATGACTCCCGCGGCGATGTGGTGTTTGCCGGCGATGGGGTGGAGGGCTCCCCCGCCAAGGACTTTGCGTTGCTCACGCAGTGTAACCACACCGTCATGACCATTGGGACATTCGGGATCTGGGCCTCCTACCTCGCAGGAGGAGAGACCATCTACCTCGCCAATTACACCCTCCCAGACTCTCCCTTCCTCAAAATCTTTAAGCCAGAGGCAGCCTTCCTGCCCGAGTGGATTGGGATTGCCGCCGACCTGTCCCCACTACTCAAGCACTGATATTAGCCTGTCCTTGGCACCCCCTTCTCCTTTTCTGGCTCCCCCAAGATCGGTTCCAAGACATGAGGACATTGTTACCGGTACCGGGACGCTTCCCTCTTGCATCAGAATGCTTTGGGTGCAAGCGACAGAGTTCCAAGGAGCTTGTTCCATTAACATATTCATGAACCAGTTAATGAACACCTCCGGGGTTAATTAACTCAGCAGCTCAACAGTGTCAGTGCCCCAGGTCTATACATCTTTATATATAAATGTATTGATTTGAGAGAGAGAGAGAGGAAGGGAGAGAGAGAGAGAGAGAAACATCAAGTTGTCTCACTTATTTATGCATTCATTGGTTCCCTCCTGTATGTGCCCTGACTGGGGATTGAACCCCCAACCTTGGCCTATCAGGAGGACACTCTAACCAACTGAGTACCCAGCCAGGGCCCAGTTCTATCCATCTTGTTAAGCTGCTATTATCTCCCCTTAGACTGGCTCCTTCATGGTCCCAGGAGAGTTGCCACATACCCAAGTGTCACATGCGGACAATCTCTTTCAGTAAACGTTTCTGGTGGTGAACCCAACAGACAGGGTCCATGCGCTCAGGGTCGCATTAACAAAACACAGTGGCTTTAAATGACAGCAGTGCATTATTTCCCACAATCCTGTGGGCCAGCTAGGTGGTTGTAAGCTCCATGCCATATTGGCTGAGGTCTCTCGCGCGGCTGCATTTATGTGGAGCTCATCTGGAGCAGCTTGATCTCCTCTGTGTGACCTGTCCTGCAGAATAGCCGGGTCTTCTCCCAACACAGCTTTCAATTTGTTTGCTAGAACACTCACTCTTGGAGCCTTCATCATCATCACATAAAATCCAACTATTGCCCTGGCCAGTCTGGCTCAGCAGTTAGAGCCTCAGCCCACAGACCAAAGAGACACGGGTTCACCCAGCTGGTGTGACTCAGTGCTTGAGTGTCGACCCATGCACCAAGAGGTCACTGGTTCAATTCCCAGTCAAGGCACATGCCCAGGTTGTGGGCCCTATCCCCAGTGGGGAGCATGCAGGAGGCAGCCAATCGATGTTTTCTCTCATCAATGTTTCTTTTTTTTAATCTCCCCTGAGGATATTTTTGCATTTATCTTCAGATAGAGCAGGAGGAAGAGAGGGAGGAGAGAGAGAGAGAGAAACATCAATGTGAGAGAGACACATCGATTGGTTGCCACCCTCACAACCTCAACTGGGGCAGGGGACAAATTGCAACTGAGGCACGTGCCCTCAGCAGGGACCAAAGCCAGGACTCCCTGGTCCGCGGGCCAACGCTCTAATTGCTGAGCCAAATCAGCCAGGGATCTCATCGATGTTTCTATCTCTCTCTCTCCCTCTCCCTTCCTCCTCTCTACAATCAATAAAAGAAAAAGATAAAATAAACATTGAAAAAAAAAAAGAAATCCAACAATCTGAAGCTGCTACACTGTGAGGAAGCCCAGTGACACTGTGAGGCCACATGTAGGTGTCCCAGTTCACAGTCTTAGCTGAGGCCAACTTTCAGTCATCTCCCCTAAGCATCAGGTATGTTAGTGAAGAAGCCTACAGATGATTCCATAGTTGTTCAAGTTAACCTATCATCTTTAGTGATCCAGTTGAGGCTCCTGACAACATGTTGCAGAGATAAGCCATATCTGAATTCTTGATTCTCAGATTCTTTGAACATAATAATATGACTGTTTTATGCCACTAAGTTTTGGGAAAGTCTGTTATGAATCCATAGATCATGGGAATAAACTGGATAAACTATTCTCTGTATTTGCAAACACTTTCATGACTTTGGCATGAATGTGGCCAACATAAACTTCCTCACATGACTTGAGATCTCGTGTGCCAAGGTCCTGTGGCAGAGGGGAGTCTAGTTATACATGAGAGTAAAACAAGGCCAGTGGCTGGAGCACACAGAGCCAGATGTGGGGAGAGAAGTTATCAGGGTCAGACTCTTAAAGACCTTGTGCACCATGACAAGGACTTTGAGTTTTATTCTAGAACCAATGGGGAACCATTAATTAGGGGAAGTGACATGATCTGATTTTCTGTGGAACATACCCAGCTTCTATGTGGAGAAGGGGCTGTAGGGACAAGGTTGAGGCAAAGAGACCCATGAGAAGGCTACTGTAACATTTCCAGCAAGTAATGATGGTGAACCAAGGAGATAAAGGTGGAACTCATGACAAGTCTCATTTCAAGGGCCCAGCAGAGACTCTCAGTGTCTCTCTGCCACTTGCGCATGCCTAAAAGAGACCATCTGATTGCCTCAATTCGACTGATGTTTGAGTCAAGCATCTACCATGGGCCAGTTACCTGAGACCCTGAGGAAGACTCACCTAAAACAAACAGCAGCCATATTTGGTTAAGAGAAGGTAATGAAAGAAGGTGAGGACTGGGAAGATGTTCCAAAAGTGGGTACATAGGGGAAAAAAATGTGTGCTGTCCACACTGTAGTGACTGAAGCAAGTTGTGTGGTCACACCCAATTTCAAAGAGGCTGAGCAAGAATAACCTGTCCAGCCCTGGCCGGTTTGGCTCAGCAGTTAGAGCGTCGGCCTGAGGTCCGGAGAGACCCGGGTTCGGTTCCCGCTAAGGGCATGTACCTCGGTTGCAGTTTGTCCCCGGCCCTGGTTGGTCGTGTGGGTGGCAGCCACTCGATGTGTCGCTTTCACGTCAATGTTTCTCTCTCTCTCTCTCCCTCTCACTCTATCTGAACAAAATATTGAAAAATGTCCTCGGGTGAGGATAAAAAAAAAAACAACAAAACAAAACAAAAGAATAACCTGTCCACATGCCCCACAATATTCATGCACAGCCCAAATTACGACCTCACATCTCACCAGCTTCCACAGTCTCTGCGTGATTGTCTTGGGGCCCTTTACTTTCTTTCTTTGTCTTTAAATTGATTTTAGAGAGAGGAAAAAAGAGAGAGAGAAACATTGATTTTCTGTTCTGCTTATTTATGCCTTTATTGGTTGCTTCTTGTATGTACCCTGACCAGGGATCCAACCCACAACCTTGGCATATCGGGATGACACTCTTACCAACTGAGCTACCCAGCCAGGGCCCACAGAATGGGGTGCTACCATACTTACTAGGCTAATAGGGTTCTGCCTCAATAACTGTTTAAGTAATCCCCTTTCAAATGTCCAATCTTCTTTTATTTTTTAATATGTTTTTATTGATTTTCGAGAGAGAGGATGGAAGGGAGAGAAACATCTATGTGAGATTCATCAATCGGCTGCCTCCTGCATGCCCCCTACTGGGCATCAAGGGGAAATCAGGGCATGAGCCATGTCAGGAAATTGAACCTACAGGTGACCTCTTAGTGCATGGGACAACTCTCAATCCATTGAGCCACACCAGCTGGGTTCCAGTTTTATTTTATATCAATCGAATGCATGGTGATTACTGGACCAGGTTTTACTATTCAAAACAAATAATAGCCCTGGCTGGTTTGGTTCCTCAGACCAAAGGGTCATGGGTTTGATTCTGGGTTAAGGGCACATGCCTGGGTAGCAGGTTTGCTCTCTGGCCCTAGTCAGGGTCGTGTGGGAGGCAACTAATTGATGTATCTCTCTCACATCAATGCTTCTCTCTCTCTTTCTCTCCCTCTCCCTCCCTTTCACTCTATCTAGAAATTAATGAAAAAATATCCTCTGGTGAGGTTTAACTAACAAAATAAATGAATAAATGGATACAAATAATAAATCAGATGTTAATTTGTTTATTAGTTTAGCATTCTCTATTTTTAAATATATGTTTTAAAATGTATTTTACATGTTTCTAAATTAAAGCAGTGTCATGGTTGGTTGTAGTTTCCAAAGAGGACCATGACAATATCTCACCTTGATTTTAACCCCTCAGACCTCCCCATGACCGTCCCATCTCACTATCCTTTTACCTCAGCCAAAAACTGGAACTTACCCTTGATTCTTTCTCATACATTCCATCCACCAGCAAGTCCTGTGGGCTATACCTGCAAAATATACTCTGAATCTGAATTTGCTTTCCTCGTCTACCATCACCATTCGGTCCAAGTCAGTCTCTCTCCCTCTCTTTTCCTCTCTCTTTAAAAATCTTTAAAAAAAAAAAAAAGTAGGTCCAGCCGGTGTGGCTCAGTGGTTGAGAATCAACCTATGCACCAGGAGGTCGCCGGTTCGATTCCCGGTCAGGGCACATGCCCAGGTTGTGGGCCCGATCCCCAGTGGGGGGCATGTAAGGGGTGGCCAATCGATGTTCTCTCTCATCAATGTTTCTCTCTCTCTCTCTCTCCCTCTCTCTCCCTTCCTCTTTCTTTAAAATCAATACAGGAAAAAAAATTTTTTTTTAAGAAAATAGTCCTCAAAGACCTAATCAAATTAAGCCAGGGTCACTAGGGTAGGCTCTAATCCAATATGACTGTGTGGCCTCATGAGAAAGGGAGATTTGGGTACAGAGAGACACACACGGGGGAAGCTGTGTGAAGATGAGGGCAGAGATCGGGGTGATGTGTCTGCCCACCAAGGAACCCCAATGACTGTCCCCAAACCACCAGGAACGGGGAGAGAAGCAGGGGACGGGTTCTCCCTCGCAGCCTCAGACGGAACCAAGCCTGCGAACACCTGGATCTTGGGCTTCTAGCGTCCAGAACTGGGAGACAATCCGTGCCTGTGGTTTGAGCCGCTCAGTTTGGGGTCCCTTCTTGGGCAGCCCCAGGAAACCGATACCCCGCCTAAGAAAGTGGGGAGGGCTGCTTCTGCTGGTTTTGTGGAGTTTCTTCAGTTAATCAGGCTCCAGTAAAATGCTGCCCTGTCTGCTCATTTGCATTAAATTATGTTCATGGTCATGGGCTGTTTTTTCCAAGTATTGGCATTTCCTGGGGTTCGATCCCTGGCCCCTCGTTCTCTCAGGATGACTTCATGGTTTCACATACTATATATATAAAGGTGGCTATATATTTTGGGGCCAGAAATTTGGCCTTCGACAAAAAATAAAATTAAATAAAGGTTAACCAACAGAATAACTTTAAAAATTCCAAAAGTAGAGAGCACTGAGCCAGGCAAGGTCTGCCAGACGTTAAAAACAATGTTAAGTCTCAATACATAACACAGTGTGACCCGGTGCATGGAAAACAGATGAAAAAAACCGCCTAGAAAAGTCAGAAATGAGCAGGAACCCACTGGAGAATTTAATGTATTTCGAGGGTGGCATTACAATTTGTAATGAAAACAAAATTTAAAAAAAAACAAGCTTGTGAAAAGAAACTGAAGCTTTACAAACTCAAAAGTTAAATTAATACATGTAAAAAGATCACGTATCATTTTTGTTTTGTTTTGTTTGAAAATAGGGAATCTTCCGAACTTTGGCAATTAGCTTTCTTTTTTTAAGCATCACCTGAGAATACTTTTCCATTGCTTTTTTTTTTTTTTTTTTTCAGAGAGAGTGGGAGAGAGGGAGGGAGAAACATCGATTTGACAGAGACACAAGGATTGGTTGCCTCGCCCTGGCCAGTTTGGCTCAGCGGTTAGAGCGTCGGCCTGCGGTCCGGAGAGACCAGGGTTCGGTTCCCGCTAAGGGCACGTACTTCGGTTGCAGTTTGTCCCCGGCCCTGGTTGGTTGTGCGGGTGGCAACCACTCGATGTGTCCCTTCACGTCGATGTTTCTCCCTCTCTCTCCCTCCCATTCTATCTGTACAAAAAATGGAAAAATATCCTCGGGTGAGGATTAAAAAAAAAAAAAAAAAAAGTAAAAAAAAAAAAAAAGGATTGGTTGCCTCCTGCATGACCCCGACTGGGGCCAGGGATCGAACCTGGAATTCAGGCACGTGCCCTTGACTGGAAATCGAACCCAAGACCCTTTGGTCCTCGGGCCGACATCCTAACCACTGAGCCACACCAGCCAGAGCTTGCATTTTCTTTTTTAATCTGCTTTGCAGGAAACATCTTTCCAATCCCTTTGGGAACTGCAAGATTCCATCGTATTTAGCGACCATGGCACGTGCATTCCCCAACAGAATGCTTGTAGGTTGTTTGCAGGTTTGTATTATTACTATAAGTGATGCCGAGGAGCCCTGGCCAAGTGGTTCAGTTGCCTGGAGCCTCATCCCGCACACCAATAGGTTGTGGGTTCAATTCCCAGTCAGGGCACAGACCTAAGTTGGGGTTTGATCCCCATTTAGGCGCATACAGGAGGCGTTCTATGTTTCTCTCACACATCGATGTTTCTCTCTCTCTCTCTCTCTCTCTTCTCTAAAATCAATACACATGTCCTTGGGTGAGGATTAAAAATAATAACGCCAAGGAGAGTGCCTCTGTCGTTCATCTCTGTTGGCTCCAGTGGGAAATCTTTATGCATGTATACTAATATCGCTTTTTTAGGATATATTATTAGAAGTGAAATGACTGGGTCATGAAGTATACATTTAAACTCAGTACTGCTGTGTGACTGGTGATGTGTATGTTCAGTCCGACCATGTACGAATGCCCACTCTCCCAGTCTCGTGATCATGGGATGGCAGCTGTGGGGTTGTTCAGGACTGCCCACCCCACTTCCTGCTTCTCCCCTTTCCCCCCCAACATTGGTCCAGACTTCTCCCCACCCCACCCCTGGGGGAGGCTTAGCCCTCTTCCCAGGGGTAGGAGGGAGGGACAGAAAGGTCTGGAGAAGGGCTGGGTGACAGGCCTCAGTGAAGGGTGCAGGATCTAAACCCTTCTCTCAGGTTCTGAGTTCAAACTGAACACTCCACCCACACCTGTGCCTTCTTTCAAATCTCCACCTTCTGGAGAATTCTTGGCTGCCCTACCCCTGACTCTGGGGCTGTTCACAGGCCTCACCAGCTCTTAGCCCAAGGCTGCCCTCTTCTGGACACAGGAGAAATGGAGACAGTGACAAGGATGAGGTCAGGTAGCAAGGTCCAGAGACTGATGTGGAGATAGATACAGGCACAGAAGTGTGGGGAGGGAAATAGAAATAAACAGAAGAAGCCCCTCCCTTCCTGATGTTTCCAGGACTACCACACACCCCTGTCCCACCAATTTTAAGCCTGTCGTGAAGGGTTCTGCAAGACCCAGCTGCCACCCCCCTTTTGAGGAACCCTGACCTCACAAGTTTCCCTGCACAGCTGTGCCCTTCACACCCTCCGGCCTTTGCATGTTCTTCTCTCTCTACAAGGCTGCTGTGTTCCAGGTGCATCTTCTGACCAGCTCTTCCTGGTCCTTTAAGAGTCAGCAAAATCCTTTCCCTGACCACTCTGTCCATTTCCCCGTGGCTTCCGGGAGTCATGGCCTTGGAATCCCGTGTAATCTTTTCATGCAAATACTTATCACCATGCGTTCTCTCGCTTTGCAATTGTCTGAGCTTCCCTCTGAGGACCCATGCTGTAGACTCATTAATCTGATTGAAAAGCCCACTTCAACCCCTCCCATCTGGGAGACACTGGCCTTATCACTCCCCTTCTCTGATCTTCAGTTATTTCATCTGGAAGGGGGGGAATGACAAATCCTGCTTGATGCGTTCAGAGGACACGAAAGATTGCCTTTACTTCATGGTACCAAGCATTCATTCCCTTGCCTCTTTTATGGGGAATCTGATGTCCATCAGTTTGACACACGTGAAGCACTAGAATTGTCGACTGGAAGCTAATGATGGTGATTAACAGTCATCGGCACATCTCACATGCCAGGTCCAGTTTGTAGACAATCTCAGTGAACACTCTCGTCCACACTGGGCTGTCGGTACAGATCAGGAAACTGACAGCAGGACAAAAGGACATCCTTGGTTCGAGATCCTGTCTCGAACTGATCTGCTGTCCTTTTCCACCTGTAGTGGACCCTGTTGGTGGCCAGCCCAGGTCCTCTTATCGATTCTGTTCACCCAGCCCCCAGCTCCTGTGAGCTTTGTGCATTAATCGTGCCTTTTTTTTCTTCTATATTTGTGGTGCTTTGATATCTGGGGCCTTGATGACATTGGAGGGACTGCCCCAGACAGGGCTAGCCAGTTCCTAGAGGCAATAAAGAGCTCACAGGCCTTTCCTATGCAAACCAAGCAACCCATAGCCCAGACTCCCTTTTCACATTTTCACGCTCCAGGGCACTATTTCTCTGCCTGATCACCCCAGGGCCAGGGCCAGACAACTCAGGACAGCCAACAGCCTGCTGAAATGATCCAAACTAGCCTGCTTACCCAGCCTCCTCTGTTCCTTCTTGAGGAAACCACAATGAATGTTCTTGCTCACGGTTCCCCTCTCTCCCTCCGCCTGCTGGCTGACCCTGGGGCTTCCCCATGGGGACTTGCATGGCTTGGAGTAGTCCCTTCTTTGGGGACCTGTGAGAATAAAAAACTATCTTGTCAATGGCAACTGTTTTCTGGTCTGTTGGCCTCACCATACCGGAATGATAGCAATATCTGCATCTTAAAACTGTGCTGCTAACAAATTACCCTGGGACCTTCTCCCCAGGATGGCCTTTGGTGTCAAAGCGCTTGAGAGTTTGGGTCCCAGCCCTCTCTCAGGACCCACAGCCCATAACTAACTAGAGGGGTAGAGTAGCAAGTCTCCAAATAATGGCCCCCAATGACCATGCCACCACCCCTCATGTTAACACATTTGAGTAGTCCCCTCCCATATTCATTAACCAATAGAAAATGGTAGAAGTGACACTGTGCCTATTCCAAGCTTAGTCTTCAAGAGACAGGCAGCTTCTGCTTTCTCTCCTAGAAATGCTCACTTTGGGGAGCCCTGAGCTACCATGTAAGGAGTCCATGCCTCTTTTGGACAGACCACATGGAGAGGGAGAGCACTAAGGCTACAAAGAGAATAAGAAAGTCCAGATGTGCACAGCCCGTTTAAATCTAACCTACTAAGCATCGCTGCCAAGGCACCAGCCAAGTTGGAAAGCATCATCTTGGATTATGCAGCCCAGTTGGGTCCTAAGATGACTGCAGCCCTAGTTGACATCATAGAGTGCTGAAGAACTGCCTGGCTGAGCCCACTGAATCCATGGACTTGCGAGCAATTACAGAGAGTTATTATTTTAAGGCTCTAAGTTTTGGGGTGGTTTGTTATTCAGTGATAAAAACCCAAACTGGATCTCTTGCCTTAAAAGGCCCAGTTCCCTTTGCCTCAAGGTGGGAAAGACCCTGCAACTCAGTTTATCCTCAGGGATCAGGCTGAGATTGGGACTCCACCTGACATCACACTCCTATTGGTCTTCTCCTTCACTGTCCTGTTTCATCCACTCCTTTTGGTTTCTCCCAGGAGCATTTCTTTAATAAATCATGGACACATGAATCTTGTCTCAGGTTCTGCTCAGAATCTGACCTCAGACACGATGTTTCTGATTTTCTCATCTCCAACCAGAAGCCAAGGATCCTGCTCCCGATTCTCACTCCCCACTCTTCCCTGCCCCTCTCCTGCATCTGGAAAGCGCAGACCACCTTCCAGATTTCCCAGCAACAGGCAGCCATGTAGTTGGTGGGATTAGAAGAAGACATCCAAGAGGTCTCTGCAGGAAGCAGCAAGCAGTTTGTTTGCCCTGGCCAGCAGCAATGAAGCCTCCCCGCCCCCACCACACAACCGTGAAGGGGATGCTATGGAGGTCAGGCAGGCACAAGTCAGGTGGTTGCCATGTCAACAGCAGTTTGGGGGCCAGGTGATGAGAATTGTCTCTGCGTCTGTGGTGGGAGAGGACTCTGCTGGTTGTTCCACCCCCTCCCTCACAGAGTCTATCTCTGTGACCTTCCCATCCCTACCAGTTCTCAGTCTCTTGAAACCCCAGAATCCAGTCACCATGGACCCTCCAGCAGGTCCCACAGCCGGCTGCCACTGGAGTCAGATAAATCAGCAGAGAAGATGCTGGGGGCTGGGGGACCACAGCCCAGCGGAGGACCCCCACTCAGAGCTTCCAGCCAGTCCAAGGAGTCTGTGGGGCCCCTGGGAGAGGAGGATGGGGAGTTTGTGGGGGACGGGATTGAGGAAGAGAAGACAGATGAGAGGCCTTCAGAGTCTGGGGAGGGGGACAGCACGTCGAAGGAGCCAGGGAAGTCCAGGGGGATAGGGGGCAGCAGGTCTGCAGGGGAAGAAATGGAGTGCGAGCTTAGGAAGGCAGGGATCCGGACCCCAGCTCCCTAGGGGTTTCCCGTTTCCAGGAATCCAGAACCTCAACCCCTTTTACCCCAAAATCTAGGTATTTGGCTCTTACCATCAGGCTCCACCTGATCCTCCAGGATGTCATCGATGCCCCGGTTTGGAAGCGACTGCGGACCGGCAGAAACGGAGTGAACCAGGCACTCTGGCCCGAATCCTGACCAGAGACCAACCACTAGCCCACTCCCTCTCACCTGCGCCCTCCGGATCGCTTCCTGCAGCTCCTCCTCCAGCGTCGGGGCTGCTGAGGCTGGTGCTGAGGAAGGGGTCAGCGCTGGAGCCGGAGTCGGAGACAGAGCTGGGGCGGCCACGAGGGTCCCCGCGGCACGAGACAGAGGTGGCGGGTGAGATGCTGGGCTTGGCTTGGACTAGAACCCAGAAGAGGGAGTTTCTTATAAGCCACGCCCACTCGGCGAAACACCACCCACCTGCAACCTGTGGCTCCACCCCCTGGCCCTGGCCCGTCCTTTACTCTTGGACCCCTCTGGCCACGCCCCTTATTCTCTCATTGGCTTATCTTCCCCCCATTTCCTCTTAACCACGCCCCCGAGCTTCATTGGCTATTCTAATTTCGACTTCCCGCCCCGTCCCGCTTTGTCTTCTCCTCATTGGTCCACACGCGCATAGCACCGCCCTCACCGAGCCCTGTCGTCGGGCCGCTACGTGGGCCTTGGGCCTGAGGCGTGGCCAGGGAGCACCCACGGGACATTCCTCGCGCCGCGGCTTCGGCCGCTCGCGGGATGGGGCGCCTCCGCGCATGCGCTCCAAGAGCATCGCCTTGGTCCCGGACACCGGGAGGCCCCTCAGGCGCAGCTGCTGCCGGAGCTCTGAGACCTGGGGTGGGGGGCGGGGAGAGGCCATGGTCGGGCTTGGGGTGCAGGAGGAGGCTGTAGCTGGACAATTGGATACCGAGAGAGAAGGGACTGGGGACCCCGGCTCCTGGATCTCTGATGGGCCAGAGCTGCAGGGGTAGACGTCTGCGTCCCCACTGAGGCGGAGGGCCAGCCTGGGAAGTTGCTCCCCACACTCACCGTCAGCTCCTCCAGTTTAAGGGTCTGAAGTTCCAACTTGTGTGGAGGAGGCACGGGGTTGGAGACTCCTGGGAGGGACGCGGGGAGTGGAGTGGGCTTCATCCTGACGATAGTCGTGATGAGGGAACAGAGGTTAGGGGGGCACAGAGAAAAGGCATTCTTGGGTCCTTAAAGTCGGGGACTCGTGAAGATGCAAGAAAATAAGGGCCCAGAATTGTGGATCTCAGAGGGAGCAAACCCAGGAGGCTAGTTCCTGTGCGTGGGAGAGGAGGGGCTGGGGGCTCAGACTCCGGTCTGAGGTCAGGACCCCTGGAAACTGAAGGAAGAGGGGCTGGGGACCTGGACTCTTGACTCCTGGGGGAGGAGGGGGCTAAGGGCTGGATCCCCTTGACCTTGGGCTCTGGGTTTAAAGGAGGAGGATGCTGGGGCTTGAACTTCCCAGAGGACAGAAATGGGGATCATACCTAGCAGGTGGCTGCTGTGAGTTTGTCTCTTCCCTCAGAGGTGGCCCAGGGGGACCAATGGCTGACCCTTTGGCCTGGGGGTCTGCTCTGGACTCTTGTCTTGGCTCTGGGGGCATGTACTGGTGGTATGTCAAGCTCCCCTTGGGCTTGGCTTCCCTCCAGTGTTGGGAGATCTTGGGAGACTCCTGGAAAAGCAGGTGTGACGTCATATGCTTCAGCTCCATTCCTACTCCCCTGCCCCAGAGCCCTATGCAAAGTATGGGGTCAGTTTGGCACCACCAGAGAGGGGCATAAAGGACGGCAGGAAGGAGGACCAAGGCTAGACTCTCAGAGGGATTTCCCCTCACCCCTGTGGAGACTCACCTTCTTCAGGGACCTCCAAGGGCAGCTTTCTGGCTCAGGGTGCAGCACCCCAGGGCTAGAAAAGGAAGGGGCGGCGCCCGAGGGCCAGGCTGGGGTAGGGGCCAGAGCCCGGCCTGAGGCTGAGATCCACGGATCCGGATCCGAGACTGGAGAGGTGGTGAAGGACCCTGAGAGGCCTGCAGGCAGCAAGCCAGGCAGGGAGAAACAAGTCTGTGTGGGAAGGAGGGTCCTAGAGGCCTCAGAACCCCACCCCCACCCTGTGTGGGACAACAGGATCAGGGAGTGAAACCCAAGTTGTGGGAGCTGGGTGCCAGGACTTCTGGATCTATGGGCAAAGGTGCTAGAAACCCAGACTTCTGCATTCTCGAGAAAGGCAGGAATCACGTCCTCAGTCACCAAGGGGTGTGGTGGCCGAGCATCACAGATTTCTAGGGTTTTGCTGGAACAGGGGTGGGGCCAGCACTCCTGGTCTTGGGGAGAGAGAGAAGCCGAAAGCCACGTCCTGAGATTCGCATGTGTGCCAAATGTGGAGTCTGGGACGTTTTCTTCTGAGTTCATGCATTTCACTGGAGTGGGGAAAGCTGAAGAGCTTCTAGGGGTGGGGTGCCAGGGGATCTGTACTCCTGGGACCTCTAGAGAGGACAGGAAGGGATGGATTTCAGTGTCTCCAGGGGCACAGGGACCTAGGACTGGGAACCAGCAAGGAAGTCTGGCAGCTACTCTCCAGGGTGCCCCAGGGGAACGGGGCCACCATCTCCTCCCTTTCAGGGCCCACACTTACTCAAGTCCTGATACCGTCTGTGGATCCGAAGCTGGAGGACTGTAGAGGGAAGAAGGGAGTGGGAGGAGAAAGGCGGGAAGGGAGTGTCCAGGAGCCTGGCCTGGCAGGCGGTTTGAGCTGCTGTTGTTGGCGGGACATGCGTGCCCAGCCCCCTTACACACACCCCATGCAGGCGGGTGGGCAGGCAGCCGGCTCCCTTTCCTGGGCCTCCCGCCTGCTCCCTGCCAGCAGAGCGCCAAGGGCCAGAACCACTCGGGGGCTAGGTGCCAAGCCAGCGTGAAGGCAGGAGGCAGCCCTGCCCCCAACACCACCTGCCCCCTTCAGAAGTGTGTGCCCACCCCACCCTTGGCACGATCACCATCTTGGCAGCCTGGCCCATTTGTACCTCGCCTGCTTTTATCCATGCACTCCGCTTTGCACACACTTGCTGCCTTCTGAGCTGCCCCTGGGCCTCCCCACAGTCGCCTCCTCTGCACACCCACCTTCAAACACACATTTCCCTGGACTCTAGTTTTGCATACACGCCACTTTTTTTTTTAATCCTCACTCCAGGACATTTTTCTATTTTTTGTTCAGATACAGTAGGAAGGGGAGAGAGAAAGAGAGAAACATCGATGCGAAAGGGACACATCGAGTGGCTGCCACCCCCACGACCCAACCAGAGCCGGGGACAAACTGCAACCAAGGTACGTGCCGTTAGTGGGAACCGAGGCCGGGTCTCTCGGAACCGCAGGCCGATGCTCTAACTGCTGAGCCAAACCGGCCAGGGCCATACACGCCACTTTTGTGCAGTTGTATGTAACCTTTGATACTCTTCGCTCGGCTCACTCTGTCTTGCCACTTACAGAGCCACATTAGCACACTTATTTGCACAGTGTTTGGTCCCTTTGCACATTTCTGTTCATTGTATACCTGCACGCTTTTGCACACTCTTTACTCTTTTTGTTACTGTGTCTGCACCCACTCAACCACCTAAGCACACTCAAGTACTCAGGAACTGACCTCCAGTTTCACTCACTTGCACACTTTCCACCTGTACTGGGACCTAAAATACAACTTGCACACTTTCAAGGCTTCGTAGCTCACTGCTCCCTCACCCACATTCCCACACTGGTCGCCCCGAAGTCTCCACCCTGTGCACTCCACTTTGCACGTGTGTCAGTTTAAGCCCTGTTCTTTTGCAGTGCCTGACCCTCTGCACACCACCCCTCCACGCCCACTCCCCACTGCTCACATGAGCATTGTGCTAGCCATTTGCGCACATTGATCCAACACAACTTGCCCCCTTTGCTGGTGCTTCCTTTAATGCACAAGTGCTCTTTTGCACAGAAAACACATGGCTCTTGGGCCCCACCACCCTCACTCCCACCTCACCCCACCCTGCACACTCCCAGAGTTAGAGTAGTCCCCAGGCCAGAGAAACCCTTCCCTACGTCTCACCGGATCGAAACTTGGAGCGAATGATTTGGGAGCGCTGGGAGGAAGCCACCAGAGTCATTGCCAAGGGTGGGATGGGGAGCTGGACTGGGGGGAAGGCAGGATCCCCAAAGGAAGTAGGGTCAGAATGGAGGTCAGAAGGCTGCCCCTGCACATGAACACAGCAGGGAAAGAGCCTCAAGGACTCATGGACAGGCAAGGATTTGGGCCATAACTTCTGGATCCTGGGAGAGGAGGGGGCTGGGAGCCTGACTCCTGAGTCTGAGGGAGGAGGTGAGGGCCCCAATACTGGAGCCTTGGGGAGAAAATACTTGGGGTCTGGGATTCCTAGGTCCTAAGAACGAGGACACTGGGCCCTGATCCCCTGAGTCTATGAAAGGGGAGGAAGGAGAAGGGGGTGAAGGGCCGGAACTCACTACTCTGAGGGGACTAGAATCCAACATCCTTGATCAAGAGGGAAAAGAGACCTGCTAGGTCCCCGGGGCATGGAAAAGTCTCTTCCATCTGCATTTGAGAAAGGAGTAGATGGGTGTCAGCCACCATGATCCGTGGGGAAGGGGCTGTGTCCAGAGAGGAGACAGAAGAGTTAAGGTGGATCTCACCCCAGGGGCTTCTCACCGGGTGGGCTCAGTGTTGCTGTGCTCAGGAGCAAGTTGAGTCCCGTGGTCTAGGCTGGAGGCTGCAAGCTCCACCCCACCAGCCTGGGATCCCCGCTTTTTGGGACGTGCCGGGAGCCGGTGAAGCGGGGCAGCGGAGACGGGAGCCCCGCCTGGGACCCTGAGAAGGGGCGGGAGCACGGGCTGAGAGGGACTGGGGCGGGGCGGACGTCTGGGTTCCCTGGCTCGCTCCTCCTCCGCGTCCTGAGGCTGCGGGGTCGGGCGGGGCAGCGGCGGCCGACTGACAGAAGCAGCTGCCGGGGAGTGGCGCCGGGTGAGCAGCAGAGGCAGGTGGTCGCGTCCCGACCTCACAGGCAGGTGTCACCTGTCGCTTACTTTTTCCCTGACGCAGCAGGAGGAGTCGGATTCAAGGGAGTGAAAAGTTCAAACTGGAGCCCCGGACTCCCGGGCCTGAAGGAGGAGGGGGACAGGGACCTAGATTTCTGGGCTTGGAGAAAAGTGGGCGGAGCCTGGACTCCTGGGAGTGACGGAGGAGTGGGCTGGGAGCCCAGACTTCCGGATGCTGGGAATAGGGACTAGAGATGTTGGGGTTCTGCAGTGTGCCCCGCGGGCAGAAAGTCTGGGAACCCAGACTCTTGGTTCTGAGGGAAGTGGGGATCAAAACGAGAGGAGGAAAAAACCAATACAAAATGCAAAAAAATCAAGAGGATAGCTGGTTCCCACTGGCAGGCCCGAGGGCCTAACATTTGGCAGAGCGATCTTAGAGTTCCGTCCTGGGATTCGTGGGAGGCCCCAGTGCTTCTGGGTTGGATTACGTGCAAGAGGACAAGCTGAGGCCGTGGTTATAAATACCTCCTCGAAGTCGGCAGGAGCCCAACGCTCCAGGCAAGGGCCCTGGTGCTATATTCCGCCGAAAATCATCATCACTAACGTTCCCGGGTCTTAACAAGTGAGACGTGGCCGATACCACAGATACTTTTATTGCTCTGGCACTCACAACCCAAACCCATCTACCCACCGTCCCAGCCTCTACGACCCAAAAACTCAAATTCCCAGCATTCCAAGCGGGAAAAGAACTACAACTCCCAGAAAGTTCTGCGCTCAGACGGGCTCCAGTGAGTAGCAGCCCATAAATTTTCAAGGCTCGCGCGCTCGTTTGCTATTGGTTTTCAAGGAGGCGTGACCACAGGAGGTCCGTGGCGGTGATTGGCCGGCAGTTCCTGCTGCTCAAGATCCCAGAGAAGGCGGCGGAGTCTGCGCAGTTCACGGTGCAGGTTGTCGTCCGTCACCGGCCCCGTGAGGCGCAGGCGCGAGCTGCCCAAGGGCAGGATGAGGGGAGGATGGGAGGAGAAGCTTTCGAAGATGTCCCCTATGAGACCGAAAATAAGGAGTTGAATTCCGAAAATGGGCGTTAGGCAGCAGTGTCAGAGAGGGCCGAGGCTGCGCCACGTTGGAATGAAGAAAAAACTTAAAACCCTCAGCAACTCCTGGAGCGGGGTCCACTCCAGAGAGACTCTTGGAGTTCCCCAGCATCATGGCAGTTACTGTTCAGACTATGAAAGGCCACCGTTGCCTGGGAAACGGGTGATATACAGGGTGTTCCCAAAAAATGTATGTACACTTTAACAGCTGATGACTCACTTAAGTTCCATTCCTTTTTAGGTTTAACTGATTTGAAAAAAATGGGTGAAGCCAGAGCTTTGAACAAAGAAAATTTATCCACTAGACTTTTTGGGGGGATGCATAAAAGATAAAGTTCATGGTACAACTGTCGACGAATTGAGGGCAGCTATTGAAAGAATGCGCACAGATACTGAACGAAATGATTCTTGATGTTTGCAATTCCATTGCTTCGAGTTATCAGCACTGCCTGGACCAGAACAATCATCAGTTTGAAAATAGGTGTTGACCAAAAAAAAAAAAAAAAGTATTCATTTCTGTAGATTCTTTTAAATTTTGAAAATGAACTGTATGCTAATAAAGTTAATAAACACTGGCTTTATAATCATTCAAATTGTACATATATTTGGGGGGAGGACACCCTATAGTTGGGTTCTTGGGTCTATGAAGAAGGAATTTAGTTTTATGGATTCCTTTGAGTGGAGGGCCTGGAGCCAGGACTCCCAGATGATGCGGAGGGTAGTTTGTTGGGGGAAGAAGCTGGGGATCTGAACCCGTAGGGAAAAAGAGGGAGGTGGGGGTTTGAACTCCTGTACCCTGGAGAACAGGAGATTGAGATCCAGCATTTAGTTACTGGGGTAGGAGAGGGCTAGGGGGTCCAAAATCCTGAGTAAGGAGGAGGAAGAGGCTAGGCCTATGGGTTCCTAGGTGAAAAAAAAAAAAGAAAGCTGACAACCCCAGTGTCTGTCCCCATTTCTCCTTGCCTGTGTCCACAGCATCTCGTTCTGTAGGGAGAGGGTCCCAAGCAGGTGGGGGCCCGCGGCCAGGACCCAGCTGGTAGTGGCTGAGCAGATGGTGGAGCTGAGCAGGGGTCAGCGTGGGGTGGTCAGTTCGTAGACTGTTCCATGAAGCCTGGTGGGAAGATAAGGTGAGAAGTCTTTGGTCATTATGAAGCAGCAGAGAAATCCTGAAGGGAAGCCCTCTATAAAGGGGCTGAATGTAGTGGGATGTGTTGGTATCTGTGCAATGTCTTTAGGACACTGTGAAGCCTGGTTGTCACCAAACTGACTGGAGGGAAGGGTGTGCTCAAAGCCTTTTTAAAAATGTGATTTGCTACAGAATAAATGAAGATAGGAGAAGAGACCAAATTAGCCATTCATTCATAGTATTGAAGCTGGTGATGTATACCTGGGGATTCATTATTCTACTGTGGCTACTTTTTATATCTATTTGAAAATTTCTACACCTAACTGAGCTGGCATCAGAATCATCAGTGTGCTGAAACCCAAAGATGCTGGACCTAGACTGCCTAGGCTTCAACAACTCCAGTTTGATGACTTATTACCGTCTGTCAAGTCACTGTGCCTCATTCTCCTCATCTGTAAATTGGGAGAGATTAGGAACTACCTAATGAGGATTCAATGTGGTAAAATTATAAAGTGCTTAAAACAAGGCCTGGTGCTTATTAAATGCTCTGTGCAAGTGTGACAAATAAAAATAAATAAATGAATTAAATCAAGTGACTTAGCCTACTTGATTCTCAGTTCCCTTGTCTGAGGAGAAATTGTCAATTAATAACCTACTTCATGGGGCTTAGTATTCAACTAAAAGTGCTAAACAGTGCCTAGCATGTAGTGTTATGTTCAATGAATGTTTTAATGATCACATTCCTTGGTTTCATATCGGACTTCCTGAATCAGTATGTCTGAGGGAGGGAGCCCTGGGAACTATTATTAATAAGTCCCACTGGGATTCAGATGCAGCCCAGTGTGGATACTTCCTTCTAGCTGCCAATACATCATCCATGGTATCTGAGCTGGGACTAGGGATAACATGGAGTCTAAGGGACGATCCAAGCATAAGCTGAATACAGAGGATGACTGAGGAGTCAGAGGAAAGGGGTCAGGAATCACCTTGAGCAGGGAGGTGCGGGGCACGCAGAGCAAGTTCACAGCCATGGAGAGTTTCCGGAAGAACTCAGTGGCAATGTCCCCCAGCCCAGCCCCCTGCAGCCAGTCCAAGACAAGGTCCAGGTTGGTCCGGATTTGGACAGCTCGAGACCATTGATAAAATGGTCGGCCTTGACCTGTAGGAGAATGATATGAGCATCACAATGGGCGCATGGACCCTGCCCTTCTGCCTCCCAGACCCTTCCTATCCTTCAGCTTGGGATCTGGAGCTTGCTTTCCAGAGTCCTGAAAGTTCAGGTTTTAGCCTGTGATGTATCTGACTTGACATGGAGCTCAGTGGCTCCTGTCTCTGTCTCCTTGCCCTTCCCAGTCTGACTCTCACCTCGTTCCATCAGTGAGTTGAGAAGGGATGCGTTGGAGAAGAAGAACAAGTAGCCAAAAGTCTGAGACACAAGGTCCGGGTGCAGCTCGCACTGGCTGGTCAGTTCCAGAGCTGCCTGGAACACGCCCAGGGTGGGTCTCAAACCTGGAGGCATGGCCTCCAGTTCTGCACCAGGTCCCGGAAGCTCTGCCCCTGCTGTGAAAGGGTTACTATCCAGGAGAGCAGGCAGCGTGGAATACAGAGTCTGAGGAGACACAGAGATGCAAACAAGTGATCAGAGTAAACTCCCAAAGGATTCTGGGAATTGTAGTCATTCTGCCTTCAACACCCTAAAGATCTCTATCAGCAAATTCCTACCTTCCAGTTGGGTTTCTAGCATTCATCAGGGCTGGGATACCTCAAGCCTTAAGAAAGGCTTTGCAGAGGTTTCTTGAGCATTTTAAGACCACTTCTGAGCCTTACGGGACTTACAGTTCCTCAACAGAGACCACTCAAGGAGGACAAAGGATACTGAACAAAGAGGCCCCCTTCAGTCAAAGAATTATTTATCCAGAATTCCCGAAGGAAAGAAAAAGAATGGAGAGTCAGGAAGTGGGAGTGGGGTGGCAGTTAGCCAGTGGAAAGTGAGATCAGGCCAAGGACAGGAAATGAGGTCAGAGCCAGAAAAGAAGAAAAAAAAAAAATACTTGGCAGGGATGGACAGGAAGTGAAGCCTGGAAGGAAAGGGGTTCACAAATCAAGGCTCCTCAAGGACATAGATGATCTGTCCCAAAAGATCCCCTTTCATTTTACAGATAAGGAATCAGGCCCACCATAAGCCAAAAATCCTGAGAATTCCAAGAAGCAATATTAAGGTCAAGGGCGGTGCTGAGGAACCAGGGCAGCAAAGAGGTCCTGTAGGATGGGCACTCCAGGGACAAAAAGGTCTGTGACTCAGAAAAGAGAGTGAATTCAGAGTTACAGAAAGTGAGGTCAGCAAACACAGGAAGTGAGGACTGATTACAGGAGACCTTTAGTTTAAATGACAGTAACTGACACTATTTGATCTATCTATATCCGTACATCTGTTTATCTATCTATCTATCTATCTATCTATCATCTGACTTATCAGTGACTGAAGAATGAACTTAGGAAAAAGGAGCTTGAGAAAGTGACAATGGTGATATAACCAGGTAGGGAGACCAG